TATTTGTTCTTCCTCTCTCTTCCCCTCTCTCCTATCCTTTCCCTCTCAACTCTTCATATTTTTCTTCCTCTTTCCCCTCCCCTTTCCTTCATCTTTACCCTCTGTCCTCTCTCAGTCTTTCTTTCCCCTCTTTACCTTCCCTCTCTCCCTCTCCGTTTTTATTTAATTCTTCTCCCCTTTTCCTCTTATTGTCTCCTTTTCTTCTTCTTCATCTTCCCCCCTCTCTACCTCCCGCCCTCCTCTTTCCCTGCCTTTTCTCCTCTCTTTCTATTAGCTCTCTCTTCTCCATCTCCCTCCTCTTCACTTCCCCTTCCTATCTTTTCCATTTTTTCTCTTCCATTTCCTTTCCTCCTCCCTCTCTCTCCATCTCCTCAGTTCCTCCTCCCTCCACATTCATCAGCATCTATATCTATCACCACCACCACTACCATCAACCACCACCACTACCACCATCAACCACCACCACCACCACCACCACCACCACTACCACCATCAACCACCACCACCACCACCACCACCACCACCACCACCAGCACACCACCACCACCACCACCACCACCACCACTACCACCATCAACCACTACCACCACCATTAGTGCTCTCAAGTACCAGGAGGTTACAGTCCGTCCGTGCATCAGTCCGTCATCTTCTCACTCCCGTAAGGCCGTCAGCCAACAAGTCATATTGTCTGGTCATTAAGGACGGTTTCAGGAAGCCATTAGCCGTAGAGCTCAAGAGTTATGGCCCTCTAATACAACTTTTTCTCGGATTCATTTGCCATAAATTATGTTCCAGCGCCAGATAGTATCGACTAGACCCGCTGCTTCATCATGTGTGTGTGTGTGTGTGTGTGTGTGTGTGTGTGTGTGTGTGTGTGTGTGTGTGTGTGTGTGTGTGTGTGTGTGTGTGTGTGTGTGTGTGTGTGTGTGTGTGTGTGTGTGTGTGTGTGTGTGTGTGTGTGTGTGTGTGTGTGTGTGTGTGTGTGTGTGTGTGTGTGTGTGTGTGTGTGTGTGTGTGTGTGTGTGTGTGTGTTGTGTGTGTGTGTGTGTGTGTGTGTGTGTGTGTGTGTGTGTGTGTGTGTGTGTGTGTGTGTGTGTGTGTGTGTGTGTGTGTGTGTGTGTGTGTGTGTGTGTGTGTGTGTGTGTGTGTGTGTGTGTGTGTGTGTGTGTGTGTGTGTGTGTGTGTGTGTGTGTGTGTGTGTGTGTGTGTGTGTGTGTGTGTGTGTGTGTGTGTGTGTGTGTGTGTGTGTGTGTGTGTGTGTGTGTGTGTGTGTGTGTGTGTGTGTGTGTGTGTGTGTGTGTGTGTGTGTGTGTGTGTGTGTGTGTGTGTGTGTGTGTGTGTGTGTGTGTGTGTGTGTGTGTGTGTGTGTGTGTGTGTAATATGGTATTAACGGTTTATTGAAAAAGTTCTGCAGCCCGAAGGCTGAAAATATACATTGGACATAAATGACTTATTACATACATTGGTGGTTTAACAAAAGCCTTCATCAGAGAAAGGTGAAGGAACATACATTGAACATACAGATTAATGTAGGTGTTGAACAGCAAACACGTAGAGTAGTAATTCCCTCCCAGATGGTGTTAGGAGGGACCTCACGTGGTGTAGTAGTTCCCTCACAGATGGTGTTGTGAGGGGCCTCACGTGGTGTAGTAATCCCCTCACAGATGGTGTTATGAGGGGCCTCACGTGGTGTAGTAATTCCCTCACAGATGGTGTTATGTGGGGCCTCACGTGGTGTAGTAATTCCCTCACAGATGGTGTTATGAGGGGCCTCACGTGGTGTGTGTTCCCTCACAGATGGTGTTATGAGGGCCTCACGTGGTGTAGTAATTCCCTCACAGATGGTGTTATATGAGGGGCCTCACGTGGTGTAGTATTCCCTCACAGATGATAACGGTGTTAGGAGGGACCTCACGTGATGTAGTAGTTCCCTCAGATGGTGTTATGAGGGACCTGACGTGGTGTAGTAATTCCCTCGCAGATGGTGTTAGGAGGGACCTCACGTGATGTAGTAATTCCCTCACAGATGGTGTTATGAGGGGGCCTCACGTGGTGTAGTAATTCCCTCACAGATGGTGTTATGAGGGGGCCTCACGTGGTGTAGTAATTCCCTCACAGATGGTGTTATGAGGGGGCCTCACGTGGTGTAGTAATTCCCTCACAGATGGTGTTATGAGGGCTCGTGGTGTGTGTGTGTGTTTGTTTGTGTTGTGTGTGTGTGTGTTTGTTTGTTTGTTTGTTTGTGTGTGTGTCCATAATACGTAGAAAGTCAGGCAGAAAGATAGTTACATACAAGCGGATCACATGAAGATTAAGCACTCCAACTTATTTCATGACTAACCTAACCTAACCTAACCTAACCTAATCCTTCCCCCAGGTGGCGTTCAGGTGCTTAATTAATCATAAGCTGAAATAAATTGTGGTGACTAATCTCCACCTAATCCGTATAATCTATAAACAAACAAACTCAAATTATCTCTCTATAATAAGTAAATGTTTAGGTTGGAACTGAGTCACTGAGGTACAGATTGTGATCAGGCAGTGTAGTTTACTTAGAAGGTAAACAGTAAGTGTGGCTGTGATGTTTGTCGAGTACTATCACGAGAGATGGTCAGCCGAGGAACACCACCAAGGCTTACAGACATTGATTTGCCTTTATTATACGATTAATCTGTGTATATATGATCAGGTTTACTAGATCTAAGAAGCGTGTCTGTTTATAGTAAGGCTGATACGTCACCACCTAAGAATTAACTATACCTGTTCTTTATTATTACATCTGTACTTATGAATAAACTACTATTATGTTTTCTGTGGTGTTGTTGAGGGTTCACGAAGGCCCCCCCCTCTGAGGCGCCCTTAGACTTGAGTCATCTTGAACCGTCATAAAAAAGAGGGAGAGACGTAACTATTTTGGGAGGTTATGAGACTTGTGCTTGGGTAGTGGAGGTTAGCTGGTGTGTGTGTGTGTGTGTGTGTGTGTGTGTGTGTGTGTGTCCTTCACCCGGGCCCTTCGTCTGCCATAACAAGATTCCTCACCACTTAAGATTCTTGTTCACCTGTTCCCTTCTTTATTTCTACTTGTCATTTTATCAGTTATTTTTTTCTTAGTTAATCTTTCTGTTTGTGTTGTCAGCTATTATCTTCTCCGGTTAATTTTTCTGTCAGTATTATCATCCCTATTTTCCTCTCCAGGTTTTCCCCCTCCCCCCCCTCCCCCTCCCCCCTCCTCCCCTCCCCAAAGGAAAGTATCACGGGAGTATCAAAACAGCTGGAGGAAATATGCGGTATAATATTGCCTCGTAAACAATGATTGACTGGAAGAAAGATACGCTGTAAGCCGTCATTTGCAAGCTGCATATTCATCACGGTCAATGGCTTATGCCCCCCCCATCTCTGTATATTGGTCTGTGTGTCTTGTAGTAGTTTACACACACACACACACACACACACACACACACACTATCGTACAGTCCCAGGACACGTCGTGGATGTAATGGGGTGCTAGTCAATCCAGGGGTTCATGGGCTAAAATTTGGTATGACTCTCTCTCTCTCTCTCTCTCTCTCTCTCTCTCTCTCTCTCTCTCTCTCTCTCTCTCTCAATAAGTAGTGTACAGGGGAGATTGGCTGACCATCTGTAATACCCCAAGTCATCTTGTAGTTTTATGAAGACAATGGACGAGTTGACGGTCGTAATTTTTTCGCTTAAATTCATTATGGTAATGATATTTTAAATAAATTGATCCAAAAAGGCATCAAAATAAGTGCTAAAAAGTCATGTTATTATTTTGGTTTTGGTCATCTGGGAACCTTAAGATTCTAACTATGTAAAAAGTACTGTAAACAATGAGAGACATTATCTGTATAGGATTTCTGTCGCAAAACATTTTTCGATCGCGTAAGACAATACAGGTCATAGGTTAGGTTAGGTTAGGTTAGGTTTGGTTATGATGAGTTATAAGTTAGCTTAACATACACCGGTAAGGGAGGTAGTAACTCAAAACTAGTGATTTCCGATAGAAGGTCTAAATCGATCATAACACATCGCAAACCATCAGAAAACAACAACAATATAGTCTGCATGTCTTAAGCACAAGGATGACCAAAACTTAAAATTCACCGTCTATAGCCTATCTCGCATCTAACCATCCAAATACTTATGGTAGTTAAAGTATAACTTTACCCATTAATTAATATAAATTATGATATATCCCGGTGGTTCATTAGTGAATCTTCAAAACAATAACAGCACGATGTTGTCGTGTTACCTAGCATCAGGCATTATCAAAAGAAAATCCAGACAATGTCATTACTTCTAAATTAACTCGTACTTCCATCTAGTACTGATGTACTCTGTAAATGCACTGAAAAAAGAGATTCTAACAGGTAAGAGTACATGGCAGCTGAGCTGGTGTGAACATGGAACTTTTTATGTCCATAAGAACATAAGAATGGAGGAAACTGCAGCGGGCCTATTGGCCCATCCTGGCAGTCCCATTTACACCCAACCCCTACCGCTCATATACCCATCCAACCTATGTTTTAAGCAGCTCTTCACGGCACTTTTCTTCACTTACGCAATATCCATGACTTAGATCATAAAAAACACCCTTAAAACTAACCTGAACGTGGCATTTGGGGTCAGAAGAGGCCATCCTTTCTACTAACTCTGACTGCAGCGATGAGTTTGAAGGTAATGACGTCATTGCAAATGGCGGCCTGTTTCTAGAGAAATAAACTTATCTCGACTATTGTAGCAGGACTCTAAACTTTTATTACACATTATATATCGTATCACTCTACTAACGTGGCAGAGTGTATTTCTTGTGTTTACCCAGAACCGTCAACTCGTCCATTGAGACATCTAAGCATGGTATTTCTGGGTGTCCTCGTATATCTCAGAGACGTCCACGGCCTTGTTGAGGAATGAGGTAGGTAGTTGGTCGCTCGTAAAGGTTCAAAATAGGTCCTGATGCTGTTTGTGTTGTGTTGTTGCAGGCAGCCGACGCAGCTGAGCGTGGTGTGGCTGCGACGGACGCGGCGGGTGGTGCAGGACGCCCCCGCCTGGGAACCCTCCATGAGGAACCCGCTGGAGGGCCTCTGCGTGTGGGCCGTCCCCGCCAACATCAACATCACCGTCACGCTCTTCAGGACAACCGCACCAACGACTTCGAGGACAAGGAGGACCTTGTCGTCGAGGATGTGAGAGGATGTGTCTGGTGGCTAACGTCCTGATTTACGTTCCTGTAGTTGTTCCGAATAGCAATGTCTGTGTAATGTCATAATTGGTTTATTATTTAAGGTATTTCTTTTACTTAACACACACACACACACACACACACACACACACACACACACACACCTGCTTACGAGAATATGACAGTATTTGGACCTTTGTATGAACCTGATTTAGTTTGTACGTTAGTGTGTCTAAAAGTTCGGTGTGCAGACATGTATATAATATACCTTTAAGGCTGACTGTAGAGAACATATTTAGTGTTTATCTGTATTCAAGGTGTCAAGGTACTTTTTCATCGTGTTAAAAATGCGAGAGATATCGCTACTGAATGACTTGATGTAACTTCATACTAGGATCCAAGCTAAATAAATGTTTCTAATGGGTGATGTGTGTTATAAACCATCGAATTCCCTTTATTTATTTAGTAATGAGATCTTGTGTATCGAATATTTATGGAAATGTAAACCAGAAATTAGTCTGGAGTAAACAGTAGTAGAAAACGGACAATTTTTGTCGTCATAGAGAACGAGTCTTTGCCCGCTTTTTTAGAGGGATAACTTGTGCAATATCGCCGATTTATTTATTTTTTGTCGAAAATGTTTACGTTGATTGTTTCTGTCCGAGTAAGGTGAATTAGGTGATAGTTTAGTTTTCGCACTTTATTTAGTTGTGTGTGTGAGCGTGTTTCGTGAACGGATGGATACCTGAAATAACACGTATTTTCCATTATTTATTTATTTCCATTCATTACTTTCCCTACCATCACAGGTGTCGTCGACGGGAAGAGACGACAGGTAGCGACGGCACAGATCAACATGAAGCAGTACGCGGGGTTAGCACAGCACGACGTCAAGGTGAAGCTGCGGCCGCTGAGCAAGAAGGTGGTGTGTGCCTCCTTGGACCTGACGCTCTCCTGTCTCTTCCTGCGCGAGGGCAAGGCCACGTGAGTATTGTACCTAACCTCTCTGTCCGTTCGTTAGTGTAGCTGTTACTCTTTTTCTTCTTCTTCCTTCCTCTGTCAGCCACGGTAGGACAAAAGTATTACTTCTTCTTCTTCTTCTTCTCTGCTGTCAGTTAAGATGGTATACTACGAGTAATTATTCTTCTCTTTCTTTCTTTCTTTTCTTTTTAGCATGATAAAAATAGAATACTTCTCCTCTTCTCCTCTCTCCTCCTCCTCTTCTTCCACCATCTCCTCCTCCTCTTCTCTGTCAGTCAGGATGAGATACAAGTAGGAATTCTTCTTCTTCATCTTCATCTCCTGTCCACTGCTCTCAGCCTCCCACCTGGTCGTATGTATGCAAGGCCTGGGGTCCATATTTCAGAGTAAGAGCCTAATTCAAACTTTTTTTCCTCCTGGGTGGCTTTATATGTTGGCATTTTGACGAGAGGACAGATTGCTACTCGTCTCTCTCTCTAGTTGAATTGAGAGGGGCAGAGGGTTGGGTGTGAGGGGAAGAGGCAGCCGGATGATGGAAGTTGGTCCCAACTTGTGAGTCGCCACCACTACTAGCAGTCTCTTCCTCCTCCTTCCTCCTCTTCCTCCAACTCCTCCTTTCCTCCACTTCCTCCTCGTCTTTACTCCCAATCATTAACCAACACTTCCTCCTCTTCCTATTCCTTCTCCTCCACAGTTATCACCGCCATCGCCTCCGAGAGAGAGAAGAGGAGAGGCATGGATTGGCGTATACTCTGTTACAACAATATATTAATCTTCTCACTGCCCTACTTCCCCTCCCCTCACTCTTCCCCTCCCTCCACTCATTCCCCTCCCACCACCCTTCCCCCTCCCATCCACCTTCCCCTCCCATCCACCCCCCCCCTCCACTCTTCCCCACTCTTCCCCCCTCCCCTCCACTCTTTTCCTCATCCTCCCTTCCTTCCATCCACCCTTCCCTCTTTCCACTTTTCCCCTCCCTCCACTTTTCCCCTCCCTCCACCCTTCCCCCTCCCTCCACCCTTCCCCTCCCTCCCCTCTTCCCCCTCCCTCCCCTTCCCCTCCTCCTCTCTTCCCCTCCTCCTCTCTTCCTCCCCAGTGCAGCGTATAGTCTTATCTCGGAGGTCAATCACTACCTGTATCTATAATTGCAGTGACCTAACGCACTGACCCCTCCCTCTCTCCCCTTCCATCCCTCTCACCCCCTCCCTCCCTCTCACCCCTTCACACTCCACACATGCTCCCCAACACCACCCAACCACCCCCTCCCCTCTGCTGATCCGTTCTCCCTTGCAAAATCCTCCCCCTCCTCCCCTCACCATCAGTTATCGCGCGCTGCCCTCCCTCCCTCCTCCCTCCTCCTCCCTCTATACACTGCACCGTGGGATTATGAGACTTTCAATGGATTCTGTCAGTTCTGCCTCTCTCCTCTCCCTACCCCATGTTAACTCTCTCTGTCTCCATGTTAACTCCTGACTCTCTTTTTCCTTCTTGCTGACTTTCTTCCAGCTGACGTTCTTCTCTCTTCCCGACTGACGTTCTCTCTCTTTTCTGGCTGATGTTCTCTTCTGACTCATTCTTGGATTGTTTAGTGTGTGTGTGTGTGTGTGTGTGTGTGTGTGTGTGTGTGTGTGTGTGTGTGTGTGTGTGTGTGATGGCCTGACCTTGGTGTTGGAGAAGGTGTTGTGTGTGTGTGTGTGTGTGTGTGTGTGTGTGTGTGTGTCCCACAGTTAGGGCCAGTAAACCTGACCGACTAAAGGAGACATGTTTATACAGGTCTGCCTCCGCCTTCCTGCCTGTGTGTATTACTGTGGCTCCTCCTCCTTCTCCCCTTCTTCCCTTCTCCCCTTCTTCCCCTTCTCCCCTTCTCCCTTCTTCTCCCCTTCTCCTCTTCTCCTCCTCCTCTTTTCCTCTTCCTCCCTTTTTCCTCTTCTCCCTTTCTCCTCGTCTCCTCCTCCTCCTCCCTCCTCTTCCCTCCCTTCTTCTCTTCCTCCTCCTTTCCCTCCTTTCTCTTCCTTCCCTCCTTTTTCCTCTTCCTCCCTTTCTCCTCGTCCTCCTCCTCCTCCCCCCTTCTTCTCCTCCTCCCCTTCTCCCACTGCTTCTCCTCCTTTCCTTAGTTGTCCCTCCTCCTCTCCTCGCCCCCCCCTTGTTTCCTCCTCTCACCCGTCTCTCCTCTTCCACCTCCTCTCCTCTCTCCTCCTCCTCACCCGTCTCTCCTCTTCTCCTCCTCCCTCTCTCCTCTTCCTCTAATCTCTCTCTCCTCCTCTCTCTCCTCTTCCTGCCAATCCCTCCTCTTCCTCCTCCTCACCCGTTTCTCCTCTTCCTCGCCAATCCTCCTCTTCCTCCCTCCTCACCCGTCTCTCCTCTCCTCCTCGCCAATCCCTCCTCTTCCTCCTCCTCACCCGTTCTCCTCTTCTCCATCCCTCCTCTTCCTCCTCCTCACCGTCTCTCCTCTTCCTCCTCCTCCCCTCTCTCCTCTTCCTCTTAATCCCTCCTCTTCCTCCTCCTCCCGTTCTCCTCTTCCTCCCTCCCTCCTCTTCCTCCTCTCTCCCGTCTCTCCTCTTCCTCGCCAATCCCTCCTCTTCCTCCTCCTCACCCGTTTCTCCTCTTCCTCGCCCTTCCCTCCTCTTCCTCCTCCCCCCGTCCTCCTCTTCTCCCTCCTCCCCTTCTCCTCTTCCTCTCCTCCTCTTCCTCTCTGCTTTCTCCTCCTCATCCCTCCTCTTCCTCCTCCCTCCCCTCTCTCCTCTTCCTCCTCCCTCACCCGTCTCTCCTCTTCCTCCTCTCCCCTTCTCTCCTCTTCCTCGCCTCCCTCCTCTTCCTCCTCCTCACCCGTTTCTCCTCTTCCTCGCCAATCCCTCCTCTTCCTCCTCCTCCTTTCTCCTCTTCCTCCTCCTCCACCCGTCTCCCTCTTCCTCGCCAATCCTCCTCTTCCTCCTCCTCACCCGTCTCTCCTCTTCCTCCTCCTCACCTCTCTCCTCTTCCTCCTCCTCACCTTTCTCCTCTTCCTCCTCCTCTTCCTCCTCCTCACCCGTTTCTCCTCTTCCTCGCAATCCCTCCTCTTCCTCCTCCTCACCCGTCTCTCCTCTTCCCCCTCCTCTTCTATCTCCCGCTGCTGCCACCACCATTTCTGTGAGATTGTCTGACTGGTTGACTGACTCATTAACTGGCTGGTTGACTTGACTGACTGGTTGACAGCTGGCAGAATGACCTCTCACCTGCCCTCTCTGTGACCTTTACCCCCTACAGACAGGCGCACACACAGACAAGAAGACACATACAGACAGGAATAGAGAGGCAGACGGACAGGCGTGAACAGGCACAGACAGACAGGCAGGCACAGACAGTCAAACAGGTAGGTAGGTAGGTAGGTAGGTGGGTACAGACAGACAATAAATATATACGAGTGGAATTTTCGTGAGGATTAATAAGTGATGTGGTGTGAGGGGGAAGAAAGAAGAAGGAAGAAGAGGAGAAGATGAGGACGAAGGAGGAAAGATGAAAGAGGAGGGAGGGAGAAAAAATGAGGAGGTAAGAAGAATGAAGGAAATGCAAGGAGATGAAGAAGGATGGAGAAGAAAGAAATGAGGAGTTGAGGGAGGGATGAGAAGGAAAGGAGAAGGAAGGAATGAGGAGGAGGAGGAGGAAAAGAAGAAGGAAGAAGGAGGAGGATGAGGATGGATGTGAGGCTCTTCTTGGACTGTCGGTAAATATTCTCAAGAGCCTCTGTTCATGAAGGCTAATTCCTATTTTATTTTTTTCTTAAACTCGAGGTCGTTAAATCTGTAGTTGTGTCGTAGTTACGTGGTGGAGGAGGTGGTTGTGTCGTTATGTGGTGGATGAGGTAGTTGTGTCGTAGTTATGTGGTGGAGGAGGTAGTTGTGTCGTAGTTATGTGGTGGAGGAGGTAGTTGTGTCGTAGTTACGTAGTGGAGGAAGTAGTTGTCGTAGTTATGTGGTGGAGAGTAGTGTCGTTATGTGGTGGATGAGGTAGTTGTGTCGTAGTTATGTGGTGGAGGTGTGGTGTGTCGTAGTTATGTGGTGGAGGGAGGTAGTTGTGTCGTAATTGCGTGGTGGAGGAGGTAGTTGTGTCGTAGTTATGTGGTGGAGGAGGTAGTTGTGTCGTAGTTATGTGGTGGAGGAGGTAGTTGTGTGTCGTTATGTGGTGGAGGAGGTAGTTGTGTCATGTGGTGGAGGAGGTAGTTGTGTCGAGTTATGTGGTGGAGGAGGTAGTTGTGTCGTAGTTATGTGTTGTGTGTGTAGTTGTGTATGTGTGTGTGTGTGTGTATGTGGTGTGGTGAAGTGGTTTGTCGTAGTTATGTGGTGGAGGAGGTAGTTGTGTCGTAGTTATGTGGGTGGAGGAGGTGAGTGTGTCGTAGTTATGTGGTGGAGGGAGGTAGTTTAGGTCTGGTTCACTGCACTTATTACCAGTTCGTTGGAGAGTTTAATGTTATAATTCCGTGAGGAAGTGTAGTAGTGGTGGTGAAGGTGATGGTGGTGGTGGTAGTAGTGGTGATGGTGTTGAGGTGGTGGGGAAGTAGTAGTGGTGGTGTAAGGTGATGGTGTTGAGTAGTAGTGGTGATGGTGTTGGTGGTAGTAGTAGTGGTGATGAGAAGGTGTGTGGTGTGTGTGTGTAGTGGTGATGGGTGTTGGTGGTAGTGTGTAGTGGTGATGGTGTTGGTGGAGTAGTGGTGGTGGAAGGTGATGGTGGTAGTAGTAGTGGTGATGGTGTTGGTGGTAGTAGTGGTGATGAAGGTGATGGTGGTAGTAGTAGTGGTGATGTGTAGTAGTGGTGATGAAGGTGATG